GGGTATGTCCTCCCAACACGCTTGATGCTGATGCCCTGCCAGGCCTGTGGCTGCTCTGTGTTAAGGTGAAGATGGCTCTTGCCCCTCTCTTGTTTGCCACATGGGTACAGCATGAGTTCCAAGCTGACTTTTGGCACACATGCCACAACACGGAGAAGATCCCTGAGGGGAAGAGACCCTGGTGTACTGGGCTGATTTGACAGCAACACATGCGTTTCTGAGTCTTTGGGTCAGAAGGACAGCACTTCTAGTTCCAGTGGAAATACCTGTTCATGGCTTTGCTGTTGGTCTTGCAAGATGATGGGCTGAAGGTTCCTAAGGAGGGGTTAAGGAATGATCCCCATCCGGCTGGCAACGGGATAACTTTTTCTCTTGCCAAAGGGATGATCTGTGCGTGGCATCTCCCAAACCCCGAGCCACCCACCCCAGAGCTTGTTTGATGTCAGCAAAATTCAGCTTGCACCTTGAGAGGGGTTTTGCCAGGGAAAAGATTGAATGCAGGAGATGAGTGGCTGCAAGGCTGCAGCTCTGAAGAGCTTTCCCTGTTAAAGCGGGAGCACAGAGCGGGGCAGAGCAGGAGGGTTTTTTCCGAGCAGTATGATTCAGTGTTTTCGTTCCCGAGCCTGCTGGACAGAAGGGGAGAGGAATGCACTACCTAATGCGGTACCCACACGTGCAGCTGTCTGAGAGCAGAATCTCACGTAATTCAAAGGGGTTTGGATGAGTTGGGGGAGTAAAGCTAGAGGAAAGAGGGCACGCAGTAGAGGTGCGCAGGCTGAGCCATTGGGAGAATATTCCCCCAAGAGCCGGGCACCTTGGAAAGGAGGATGGGAACTGAGTTGTCCTTACTTTTCCAGAAGTAGCCATGTGGTCTTAGCAGAGCCGTGTCTGTCGCTGCAGCAGGCTGGAGGGAAGCTGCCGCCCGTCTGGCCAAAGCCCGTGTTGCGAAATGGCCCAGGAGCTCCTGTGCAGCCACAGGCCGTGGCTGAAGGGAGGGAGTCCTGGTGTGGGACCGTTGCCAGAGAGCGGGGAGAGGTGATTAATCTGAGTCCGATGCCGGACTCTGAGGAGCACAGCGAGTGTGTAGCAGAGGAGCTGGATTGCAGCAGGGAGATGTTGGCAGTCACGTGGGGAGTGGGCAGAAGTCCTCGGGGGAGGCTTTTATTGGTGGCGCTGCCTTCGGGCCATGCCCTGCCCTCCCTGCCTGAAAGGCAGAGACAACTCAGCGAGATTTTCTCTTCTGGTTGGTTCTGGCAGGTGTGGAGGGAGGAGGAGATTTGTGGCAGCGCTCGGGCTTCCTCGGGGTCCCCTTGTTGCCAGGGGCTAGCATTTGACCTGACAGCAGTTCACGTGAAGGTATTTGCAAAAGGATTAAAAATTAAAAAAAAAGAAAAAAAAACCCACGGTGAAGACATGGTGTGGTGGACAAACATGCATGTCCTTTTGGAGTGAAGCTGAACTGTCGGTGGTGTTGCAGCTATTTTCACCTGGGTAGTAAGGGGAGAATGTGTCAGGAAGGGTTTTTTTTCCAAGGACACGTTTGTTTCACTCGTGTGCAACAAGGTTTGGAGGGTTTCAGTCCCCCAGGCTCTCGTGGTTTCCACAGAGCTGTTTCTGCTCTGACATCGAGCAAGGTGATGTATGGGAGATTGGATGAGCAGGACCCTTGAGGGAGGTGATTCTCCCCTTCCACTCCACTCTGGTGAGAGCCCACTTTTGGAGTATTGTGTCCAGCTCTGCAGCCCCCAGCACAAGAAAGACACGAACCTCTTAGAGTGGGTGCAGAGGACGGCCACTTGGGAAGGCGTGAGCCCTAGGTGTATGTGTCGAGGGCACTGTGTGGAGCAGTTTGTGTTGGCACTTTCAACCGCGTGTCCCAGCCCTGTTTCATAGGGGGAGGGCCAAGTCAGCAGCAGCACTTGATGTTTGCAGGCCAGACCCCCAGGTCTCCAGTCCCCTGGGCCCATCTCCCACTACACCAGTGCGGACCAGCAGCCCGACTGTGCCCCAGCAAGCTGGCTGCACTCTTGCCTGGGGCATGGTGGCCCTGTGGTGTGACAGTGGCTCCAGCTGTGTGGAAGTGGTGCTGGGCAGCCTATTCCCCAGCCCTGCTGATCAGGTAGTGCTGTGCTCCTGTCATGGAGCTGAGCACCTGGTACTAGAGTGGCCATGCACTTATTTTGATCTGTTTTTCAGGTGTACAGGGACATTTAGGAATTTTCCGCAGGTAACTTCTACTTTGTCATACTTTTCTTTGCCCACCTTTGGTAGCTTTCATCAGACTGTGAGAGCTGGTTATGTATTATTTCCCAGGAATTAGGATTTTTAGAATGAACTTTTTAAGGTTTTCGATATTCAGCCTGGTCTGCCTGCTGCATTAAAAAGAGTCTATCTTATCTTCTGGTAAGATTCATGTATCTTGGCACGAGAAAAATTCGTTTTAGTTGTCCTGAGCAGCCGAAGATGTGACAGCCCTTGAAGAAAACATTGTGCTGTCATCTCCCAGTTATCTCTGTCACACAGTGCTTTTTATTACTTGGATCCATGCTCTCCCTCTGATAACCTTACAGCAATAGAGGGGATTATGCTGTGCGGGAATGATCATTTTTCCGTAATGCACTGTCAAGGAGGGTGATCTTACAGGCATGTAAAACTAAATGCATAGCATTTGTTTCCACCACTGGAGCACACACTGCTGGAGCTATGCAAGTCTCTTGTGCTGTTTTTTGGGGGACTTGCTGGGTGGGTGGGATGTGGTGGCAGAGCGGAAACACGGTAGTCCTCAGCTGCACATAAAGCCAAGTGGTGTTCAGTAAACACTGGCATGGTTTAAGGTCTGAGGAAACACCATTATGCTTTGTCAAAGAGTTTGTCTCTTGGGCAGTTACTGGATTTTTCATGGCTTTTGTGGATTTTTCATAGTGTCATTGTGTTCTAATGGACAGATTGTTCTCTGATGGGGAGTGTGGACCCTGCTCGTTCACAGGAAAGCTCCTAAGAAGGACAGGGAACTGCTGGAGAGGGTACAGCAAAGGGCTACAAAGCAGATTAGTGGACTGGAGCATCTTTCTTATGAGGAAAGGCTGAGGGACTTGGGTCTTTTTAATCTGAAGAAGAGAAAGCTGAGGGGGGTTCTTATCAATGCTTATAAATACTTAAAGGGAGGGTGCCAGGAGGATTGGAACAGTCTTTTTTCAGTGGTGTCCAGTGATAGGACAAGATGTAATGTGTACAAACTTAAGCATAGGAAGTTCCACTTAAACATGAGGAGGAATTTCTTTACTGTGAGGGTGGCAGAGCACTAGAACAGGCTGCCCAGAGAGGTGGTGGAGTCTCCAACTCTGGAGACATTCAAAACCCGCCTGGACGCCATCCTGTGCAACCTGCTGTAGGTGAACCTGCTCTCGCAGGGGGGTTGGACTAGATGACCTCCAGAGATCCCTTCCAACCTCTATAATTCTGTGATTCCCTGATTCTGTAAATGGAGGCTCAGACAGAGCCTCTGCATGTGGACCTGAACCCACCTGGAGTACCTCAGAGTGAGAGAGCCATTGGGAAGTTCTGTCAGAAATGAACTGTTCAGAGCTGCACAGTCACACAAACAATTTAGTCTTCAGCTGAATGTGGATGGGGATCTGCATGGAGAAATACTCTAGGACAGTATGAACTATTTGTCATTCCCCAGTCAGAAGCCACTGCCTTCCTCCATATGAAGACTGAACTAGATTGCTGCCTTATAAAATGTCCCTAAGAAAATTATTTCATGGGTTTATTGTTTTAGGCCCCAGGAACTGTCCTAATAAAGGTACTAACAGCTTATTGTTTACTATGCTTGGCAGATTACAACAGAAGTAGGCTTTGCATTATCCTGAAGAGGACAGAAGCGAGAAGTTTCATTGTACTTTATTTCCTACCTCTACTCTTTTTTCTTCTACTACTTTGAAGACTGCTGTAATATTCGCTAGCCTTCATACAATAGGGAAAGCCTTGGAAAAAACCTTGTATTTGGCATATGGAGGATACTTTACGTCTCCATACTCCTTTCTGTCCTCACAAGCTAGATCTAAACAGGCCTTCTTTGGCTTCTGTTTAAGTCATGAGTTAAATGTACCTTTGCTGGTACAATAAACTAGCTTGGCCTCCACAGAAAACATTTTGTTAGAATGCTCTGAGAATTGAGATACTATTATGCTCTTGTTTCTGCTGAATCTATGTTACTACCAATGAGATCAATTAAGTAGAATTAAAACCCCTCTCCTCCTATTTTGAATAGTGATCCAGTTCACACTGTTAGTTCCCACACAACCTTCCTTGAAAGAGAATAGAACTCTTCAACTCAACTGCACCTGAAAAGAATTATTTTATGGTCAAGAAAAAATCTTCAGCCCCAACTGCACAGATACAGAAACAAATGACTGAAGTTTGGGTCTTAATTGACGTATAAACTGAGCTTATTATACACACACGTGTTAAAGGATCTTCTTCTGTTAAAGTCTAATCTCTTGGTAAACTTAGCCTCAAATCATTAACCTAGCTCGGCCGCTCAAGGACTCTTTCTGCTGACACAAACAAGTAAGTCATCATTAGCCCACAGTCCCCTTACTTCGGAGGTTCTTCCACCCAGTGCATGCGAGTGCCTGCAAAGTCTGATTAGTACTTTGATAAATCTTAGTACTTTAGATAAATCAACATGGACCACGTTTGCCAAGATAGAAATAGCTTCTGTTCCTGTTTCCATGTTACAAATGCAGAAAGCAGCAAATGCTTTATGTCTGATTTCTTGCAAACTGTTACCACTCACTTGTTTCTTCCCATCTACTTTGTATTCACACTTAAAGGTTATGAAACCTCCCCTTTATTTAATGGAAACAAACAACAATACTTGATGCACATGCATATTTCTTCACATTGTTTCCCAAGCATCAGATGAACTTGTATAAACTAGCCGAAGATCTAAAACCATTCTGATAAAACAGCTAAAACATCCCCAAGAAAGAGGTAAAAAGTTAAAAAAAAACCCCAAACAAACCATAACACAGAACACCACCACAGCAGTTTTATGTAAAATGTTTGGAAGTGTTAATTGGTAAACTATCCAGTACCTAAGTCTCTATTTTACTCAAATATCATTTACTGAAATTACTAATTCAAACACATGGTCACCATAAATTTTAATCTGTGCAGTAATTTCCTTGCCTGTCAGGTAATGGCCTAAGGAGTAATTTTGTTGCCTATCAGGTAATGGAATGCTACAATCTTTCAGGATGGATACATAGTTCTGACCTAGAGTTTTACTGTGCTAAGATGCATGCACAAATCTGTTAAGATTGCAGTATTACGAAGGCCCAAAGAAAGAGTTTCCTTAATTTGTCTTTTATTAAAGGATTGCGTATTGAAAGCCATTTTAAAAAAATCCAAACATTTGCTAACACCTGTGACAGCAGCAAGTCCTATAATTCATAACTGGTTATTAAAAGAAAATTGCAGCACAATACAGAGGATTTAAAGCAAGAATCAGGAGGAAAAGGTAGGAGGAAAAAGATTATTTCATTTGTAAATGCTGTGCTTGAAGTCTGGGGTTTGAGCTTGATCTTTTTATTCTAGGGTGGTAGTGGTAGTGGTTGTGGTTTTATTTCAGATCATTTGTATTGGAGGATAATGAAATTTGTACTGGTGCTGAGCCATCTGCTGCTTAACAATTGGGAATCCTAAAAGACCAGGACGCTGCGAATGCTGCAATATAAAATGACAGGTTAGTGACAGTAGAAAAGCTCCAGGGCTAATGTCAGCAAAACACTGCTGTTTCCTCTGAAAATCTAGGCTATTGCTGGAACCAGGGCACTCTCTCCCCTGCCCCTGCTGGCTTGCATCAAAATCACAGAGCAGATGTGCAAACCTTGCTGCAGATACAGAGAACAAAATTCATGCACGACTGTGAAGCCTTTGCTCAACAAAGCCCAGGGCTCCTGGCAGTTAATCACCAAATATAGCCTGGGAAGTCCTTAGAGGAGGCTTACACACATCTTTCCAGTTACAAATGGCTCTAAGGGTAGCCTGAGTGGTAGAGCTTATTCTGGGCTGAAACACTGAAGTGGTTCACTTAGTAAAAATGGTCAGCTGCAACATGCCTCTATCTTCAGGTTGACTGTCAGTATTTTAGCAAAGCTGATGCCATCTCTGCCCTCACCACTTTCCCCTGTTTGTTACACTAAAATCAAAAACTTACATTTACATCTAAAATAAGGACAGTCAAAAAAGGAAGTGTGTGCTGCATAGTTAGGACTGGAGAACAAACCTTAAGGCCTGAATTTTTCTTTTACGTGCTTTTCATATTTAGAGCAAGTAACACCTAACATAACTTCTAGAAAATGGCAATGAAAAGAAAACATGAATGTAATTCTCCCGACCGTCTAAGTTATAAACAGCTAGAACTTTCAAAAGGGGTAGTCCCTACATATACTAAGATAAATAAATGTATTTCCCAATTGTGCCAAGGAGAATTTTCAATTATTCCCATGGTGAATCTTGTCAAATGTCTCTGGCAAACAATATTTCTGATTTCAGCACCCTATGAAAACAGAGTCTGAGCTGAACACTCTCAATATTTGAGGAACGCATGAGAGCCAAATTCTGAGTTCGCAATGTATATATACACCAAGTACTTTCCTTTTTGAAAAGCTCTGAAGTTCAAGGTGAACTACCCAGTGGCTTTAGGACTATTTGCACTGGGACTCTGTTCCCTAACTCACAAGAGGAATGGTGAGTTGCTCTTCCAGTAAACACAGGCTACCGCTGTGTTCCTGCTCCTCATCCTAAAATGTTTCTAACAATGTGATGTAGCTAACCCCTGGCACTCTACAGCTTGGCACTGCAAGGCTCCTTCAGTTGTGTGCTCTCTTCCAATGGGTGGTGGGCAGAGACTTCCTTATTTGTATGGTCTTTTCTCCCTCTGTCACCCACAGTCCTTCCTCAAACTAGAATCTGAAAGTTCCTCTGAAAGGAAAGACAGGGCCCACTGCGTTTCAAAAGCTAAAGCTTTGCTAGCTTTATTACTGCAGCTGCAACCCGTGGACACATACTGGGCGGGATTAAGGGGCATAGTGGGTTGCCTTCCCCATTCTCTGCCATGAAGTCATACTCTGTGTTACGGTACAGCTCATTTAGCTTATTTATATAGAACCTTTACAGTTAAATGATGTTTACCTCTTCCCTGTCCTTAGCAGATCAAATCCTTCATTGATTTTAGTGAAAGGAAGTGTGTGGGTTATTAATGGATCCAGAACAAATTTTTTCTTCATGTAGTCAGCAACCAGTTTAGGGACTGAATCTTTACTCTTCCAGCCTGAAAAAACCCACAGACAATGGATAATGAACCATTAAATGCTTGTAAAAATAGATAAAACTTCTGGCAGCTTAATTTTTAGATGAACTTTCTATAGCAGAATAGCATGATGAAGTGTTGTAGCATGCCTTTACCTTTGTACCACAGAATGCCAGCAGGAAACATGGGATGAAGTGCAGCTATTCTACATGTGACAAGTCCAGTAAGTGCTTTACTGGTAGAAGGCCAGTAAAAATTTCAATCTTTACAGAATCCAAACTTTCCCCCACATTAAATACTGTTTTAACTTGTCCATTGATACATTGTCCACTAAATCACACCTCATACAAAAGCCAGAGTGCTGACATCCATGTTGGTAACTAGAAACTTGATTGTCCCCCGCCCCTCCCTTGACTGGGGGATTGGGTGGTGGATGTGTCTCTTTTTTCTTACAAACAGTACTAGATAAAGCTGTCTCGGATAGTAGGATGCTTTTCCAGACGAACCTAATTTGTCTCTGCTATTTTATTCAGGTGTCTATTGAATATATGAGAGGAACTGGTTGTCAGTAAGAAAACCTATTGTTGGAAATAAGTTTTCTGTGGCCTTCAGCTTTGTGTTGAGTGAGCAAAGGCTTTCTGAGTTCAGGGCTCTGCTGGGAGAGCTTAGAAAAGAGAAAGAACTAGAAAGGACTGGCAAGGGGCTGAGCTGGGGTCTGACCTATGGGGTAAGTCAGGTGGGTCTGACCCCTGATGTCCTTTAGGGTCCTGACTCTCCATCTATCTTTCTTTCTTTTCTGTCTTTCCTTTTTTGGAAGAAGTTTTTCACTTTAAGGGTGGTAAGGCACTGCAACAGGTTGCCCAGAGAGGTTGTTGAGGCCCCATCCCTGGAGGTGTTCAAGGCCAGGCTGGACATGGCCTTGGGCAGCCTGGTCTAGTGGGAGGTGTCCCTGCCCATGGCAGGGAGGTTGGAACTTGATGATCTTCAAGGTCCTTTCCAACCTAAACCATTCTATGATTCTATCTCTCTTATTCTCTTTTTTGCTCTTGCTCTTTTTCTCCCTCTCCTCCCTCCCCCTCATCTTTTCTTCATTTTCTCTTTTCCTCCCTTTGTCCTTTTATTTTTCTTTTTTCTTTGTCCTTATATCTTTTCCTTTTCTCTGTTTTTCTCTTCTCCTCCCTCCCTGCCTTTCTTTCTCTCTTCTACCTTTCTCTCTCCCTTTCTTATTTTTTCCCTTTTCCCCCTTTTTCTCTATTTTTTGCGTTTTATCCCTTCCTTTCTCTTTCTCTGCCTCTTCTCTTCTCCTTCTTCCCCCCTCCTTCTGTTTTTTTTCTATCCTCCTCTCTCCATTAACTAACAGTTCCCATAATTAATTCCTTTGTGCTTCTTTGTCAGCAAATAGCTATCAGTATTACTTCCAATAGGACAGCCTAAGCAATGAATTTTGATATATCCCATTTCATTCTAGTTGATTTACAATTTTTCCAAGTCAGTTAAATCTTTCCAAGTCCTTACCTCCAAAGACGGACCCTTTCCAGGTGCGACCAGTGAAGAGGAGCATGGGGTCAAAAGTGATCTTTTGTGCTGCAGGGGGTACTCCCACAATCACACTGACTCCATAGTTGTATTGGCAACAGGCCAAGGCTGCAGTCTGCATTTGAAACAGAGGGACACCCCAGAGTTATGCAAGATTTGCCACTGGGGCATAAAAGTTTGAATTCCTTCTCCTCCTCTCAGGGCTGAGCTCGCAATTCATTTTTTGTAACTGAAACCACATGAAACAAGTTCCAGTGTATCTGCTCACACCACTGTATCTGCTGTCATGGGTTAGGTATGTCCTAGCTTTGTTCTGCTTCCCCATTTTGTTTGCACATTAGTGATAAGCCACTGTTGGAAAGCAGATAGTGGGCTATGTGAAATTTAGCCACCCTGGTTAGGTCAGGGGAATACACTGAAGTTCCCTTTCCTAATTTTTTGAGTGTACTTCTGTCCCTGCATCTCAGTGGCAGATAGCTGGACTTAAGAGGTTTGGAGTTAGCTTGACGCTTTGCCAGTGGCTCTCAGCTCCTCACCCTTGGTTCTTGGTGGGTTAGCGAAGACAGAGCTAACAAGTTAAATCCTCATTTGACCACATCTTTGGTTGCATACCATGGTTTCGGTACGGCCGATGACCTCAAAGGAGTAGTCCACACCATGGCCAGTCATTTCGATCAACACTTCGTGAATAGGCTTCTTGAAATCTTTAGGGTTGACGCAGTCTGTGGCTCCCAGCTCCTTGGCCTTGGCAAACTTGTCGCTGTTGATATCAACAGCAATGATGCGGGAAGCTCCCGCCGCCTTGCAGCCCATGACAACAGAGAGGCCAACTCCTCCGAGGCCGAAGATGGCACAGGTGGAACCTGGTTCCACCTATAATAACCATATAAACATGGCATACTGTTACAGTCTAGGTAAAGTACAATGCATTTTCGTATTATCAATATGTTTTCACTTAAGCCACTTCTTGTAATTTAGACATTATCATCTGCTGAGAAGTAATTTGCACATGCATACCTACTAGTGCAGTAGCCAACTATACTGTTATAATCCTACATGTGACCAAGATAAATTGTCCCTAAAATACATTTCTGAGACCAGGTTTTCATTACATGTCTCAGCTTCAGGTTTAGACACATTTTTTAATGATGCTCTATATTCCAGTGGTGTTAAGATCTGTAGTGTCACTCCACTGGAGACAGTGCCAGCTGTAAAAGTCACATTCACGTATTGCTACAAATTAGGAGTGTTCCATTTATAAGCTTCCATGTATTCCTAGACTTAAGTTACAATAAAACAAATCAACTCTGTTGTAACATTTCTCTAGGGCTGATAAAGCTATGAGAGAAAACTTAATAGATGGTAGTAAGTATTTTTACTGGATTTTGAATTGAAGATTTCTGAGTACCTTACAGGCAGAGAAACCGAAGTAGGCAAAGTACTAGTATCTTCTTTCCACCCTGAACTGGCTGCCTGAACCACCCTCCTGGCTGCCATGCTGACAACCTGCTTGCAAGCCATGCAATCTTGAACAGATCCTATAAGACACCAGAAACACCCACCACAATACTTACCTTGGCAGTCTGCACAGCAGCCCCATAACCAGTTGAAAATCCACAGCCAATTAGACAAACTTTTTCCAGAGGAGCAGCAGAATCAATTTTGGCTACAGCAGATTCATGCACTACTGTGTATTCAGTGAAGGTACTTGTACCAATAAAATGGTGAATTGCTTTTCCTTTACAGGTGAATCTGGTGGTGCCATCAGGCATTAATCCAGCACCTGAACCAAGGCTGTTTGAAAGATGACCAGAAATAATGGCAAGTGAAATCTGTTGAATGCGATCAGTTTTGTATAAATAAAAACCATATAAGGGTTGTAGGTAAGCCAGGAAAACTCACTCGTTTTTACTGCACAGATTACCCTTGGTGCTTAAGCAGCTGTTGCACTCCCCACATTGTGGAACAAAGAGTGGAATAACCTTGTCTCCTAGAAATAAAATAGTAATGACAAAGGATTAAAAAAGGCAAATAAGAAGCATGCAGGTACAAACATGAAGCAAGTGTGTTTAATCCCTAAGCAAATGGGCAGTACGAGTGCAGTGCTGGTTTTATTTCCTTCTGCTGCTCTTGGAAGATAAATCATCTTTCTCTGTTGTAAAGGACATAATTAGGGCAAGGTTATTACAACTAATTTCAATATGCAAAATTCCTGGTGTCTTCGTAGAACAGAGTCTGAGCTATGTCATAAATCTGTGTTAGCTGCTGACATTCCTGAAGTACTCCTTCTGCAGTTTATTGCATCTTCTGCTGAAAAGAAAAATAGTAATACACAGGTAAAGAAACTGAGATAAAAATTTACATCCACTAGGACAGCAGATTGGAGTGCCAAGATAACAGGGCTGTAAACTGTGCATAAAAAGAATGGGAAATTAAGTATTCATTTGCCAGCCCTCTTGAGTCTCTTTCATATTTGCATTCCTATTACTGTTGCATTGGAGTTAAGGTAGGTAAAATATTTGTCAGAGAATCAGTGACACACACAACCTAAGAAAACAACTGTAATTCTCTAGCACAATTATATGATTAACAAAGTAGCACATAGCTTCCCAGTGCTAGGCATTTTCCACAGCAATGACGTATGGTAAATACCTAATAATCTCTAAACAGGTAATCCCAAATACAGATCGATTTGTGATTTGGCAATTCTAAAATGTGGCTAATCCCTGATACCTTGAAAGTCAAAGGAAATCTTTGATTTCCTCTGAAAAATGGAAAATGCCTACAGAACATGAAATGCCCCCACTACCCCAACTCTCAGTTAACTTAGAACTGGGACGTGGGCTTAATAATCATTCTGCTAAAAAAACTTTGCATGTTTTGGAGCCTTTTTTAGAACTTGAAGGTGTAAATTAAGCAACATTGAGAAATGTGATTTTGTGCATGTGTATGTGTCCAGGCCTGCTGTTTCAGCTCACCTGGAAACACATGGCAGCTAGCATTAGACAACAGTGATTTATGAACCCAGACCTAAAAGAAGAAACAGTTAAGAGCTATCAGTGAAATTTGCAATATAAATATTTGTTTGCAGTTAAAGCAGAAATCTCTAATAAACCTTTTTCTTCTCATACATACCAACCTGCTTTGGACAGACTTCATACTTGTTGCCAGTATGAACAAAGACACTGGAAGTACAGAGGTGTTAAAAGTGAACTACTTAGGTATTGTAACCAACTGCTTGGATAAAACTGAGCATTTCTGCGCAGATTATGTTCACTGAATGTTTTGTCTTACTAATTTAGCCTTTGTTAGAATTTGTTCAGTCCCATAAAAGTGTGTAGAAGTCCTGTCTCATCTTGCAGCAGTTGAACGAAAATCAGCATCTTTCACTGACTTTATCTACGCACAGTGGTTCAAAGAGGATGTAGCGAGAGGAGCAGCTGGTCAAGATAAGTGTCCTCAAAGTGATCCAGCCCTCAGTCAGCAGTGCTGACTCACCTGCACTGGTGCTGCACACAAGCAAAGCCTGCAGCAGCGTGGGCACCCCAGTCGTGCCCTGATACTTTTAAAGTGAAGTAACTGAACACATAGACCTAAGCTTGGTCTAATGAAGTCAATGGATTATTTAGCTGTTGGGAGAATGAGAAGAAGGTGCTTTGACATGCTGTCTAGTGCTTTGCTTTGCCTTATTCTTGAGAGAGATTAGTTCTGTAAACTGTTTAAAAAAACAGCAGCTAATAGCTGATTTCCTATGACCAACAACAAAGAATCTGTTCTTAATCCCGTAACAGGAAAAGCCCTATGCAAGTTGCAGATATTTTTGCCAAAACCAAAATAAATTTAATAGAAAATCTGAAAATAAATCAAGATTGGGAACACAGAAAGATGTAAACAGCACGTCCTTTAAGGTATCCTTGAAAAAACTCAAAGTTGGAACATTTTCCTCTGCAATACAAGTACTCACGCATGTAATCATCTTTGACTTAAACAGGAGTGTGGAAACTCAGGACAGGGTTTGTGTTCAGTGCTGTTTCATACCTGGTTTGACGGAAGTTACTCCCTGCCCAACACTCTCCACAACACCAGCTGCTTCATGCCCAAGAATTATTGGAAAAGGCATGACCAGTCCACCAGTTATCACATGGTCATCAGAGCGACAGATCCCTGTGGCCACAATCTGATTTAGAGAGAAGACAAGAATATTTCAGCATTTAACTATGTCATGTCATATACAGAAGTGAAATTATAGTATGTATTTGGAGGTATACCTTATATCAGGCTAGATATAAGGAAGAAATTTTTTTACGGTGAGGGTGGTGAAACACTGGCACAGGTTTCCCAGAGAGGTGTTAGATCCCCCATCCCTGGAAACATTCCAGGTCAGGTTGGACGGGGCTCTGAGCAGCCTGATCTCGTTGAAGATGTCCCTGCTGACTGCAGGGGGGTTGGACAAGGTGACCTTTAAAGGTTCCTTCCAACCCCAACTATTTTATGATTCTAACTCACTTGCTTCCCTGTAAAATCATATATGCACACAATAAACCTGCAGGTAAAATGCTTTTGGTTGTGATATTCATGATTTTCATGTCTTGTATTAGTCTTTAATCTGAAAAAAAAGGCTCCTTTTTGAACATTGGCTATGCACTACTGAGCTCTATAGGGACTCTCATTGATTGGCTGGCAGAACCAATGTTCTAGCAATAAAATTATATATGAAGAACAGAATAAAATGAATTATTCCTAATATCAATATATAAATATACAAATATTAAAAGTTTATAATATTATAGAAATATTACAAAAATTTCAATATAAAATAATTATAACATTATATTCTTTAAAAAATATAAACATTTTATGTATTTTATATTAATTATATTTTATTACAATATAGCATATAATAGATATGTTATAAAAGATATTATACAATGATGTAATGTTATATAATTAAATTATAATTACTATATATTATTTACATATTATAATATATCTATATGTTATATGTACAAAAATTTAGGCTACACATAATATTTTGTATCACATTTTGGATTTTTCTGCAGGTATCACAGCAGTATTTCTTTTGAAACATTCAGGTATGTCTTTACAACTTTTATTCTGCCAAATGGAGTTGTCAACCCCATGAGAGGGTTCTCCTCACTTGTGTAATGCTTGAAACTGCTCTAAAATGAAAACAGTTACTGAATTCCACGAACAAGTTCCCGAAATGTAACAGATACTCAATACGCAGTTAAAAAAGGAAGCTCCCAGCCCTACTGAGCTATTTCCTAGCACAGATTCAAAGTAAAAGAGAAGTTCTTGTTCCACACTATAGGAGATTCCGATTTTTACCTCGTACTGTAATTTTTTCAGTCTATTAAAAGCACAGGTGTCTTAGTAAACAAAAAGCCCAACTCTGATTTTTTTTTTTTTAAAGGGACCTCATGATCAAATTTAGGACTTGAGGCATGTTCCATAGGAGCTTGTTGAATAGTAACATTTTCTGACTGGGTCCTAAAAATCTATAGAAATAATTCTGACAAACAGCAAGACAGAATGCAATTCATGACAGTTTTCTTAAATTTTATTTTTAGTACCTTTATGCGAACTTCATGTGCTTTTGGTGGGGCAACTTCCACTTCCTCAATAGAAAATGGTTTATTGGCTTCCCACATTACTGCTGCTTTGCATTTAATAACCTGCAAATAGAGCAAAGAAAAAGGCAATGGCACTTGGATTTGCAAGTCACCATACAGTTTCTTACATTTCTACATGTGAAACTCCTGCTCATATTTAGGGGAGGAGAGGGAAAACTACAGAAAAAAAACAACAAACAAACACAAAATGCAACAAAAAAGCCAACATCAAAGCACAGTGTAAGCCCATCCCCCCCCCCCCCAAGATCATGTCTGACTTTGTTCACATTTCTTTCATACAAAGTTTTCAGCAACATCTATAATAATCTCCTGGGATAACTGGATACCTTATCCATCCTCATTGCTCCTTTGTTCTTGAGTTCTACAGTAGCAAACATTATTCAGGTAGAAAAGTTATTCTTTGTTTCCAACTTCCTTGGCGGATTATTTTTCCTGTGTTGGATGGCTGGTGTGTATTCGCATCTTCTTGGAGACGGCACACTAAATGATGCCATATGTCAGGTTGTGATAACGTCTTTATTGCCTAGAACTGCCTGTGTCAGGAACTCACAAAATTGCTAAAAATGGAATTCAGAGTCTTAATACATGCTTATGAACATTTTGTTACAGCCCCAGTTCAGCCATGAGGTGATGGCTGAGAGGACACCTATGTGAAATGGTGTAGCACTATGCAGAGGTAACCTTGAAGAAGCAATGGTCCTTTTACCGCAAGACTATCCGTGCTAAGGTACCTTGCTGCTCAAAGTACTCCCACTTTGTTACTCCCACTACCCAAGACAGCTATTTTTTTGCCTGTTAGACTAAAATTTGCCCATGAGTTCCACAGGCTTTGTCCGGGTGCTGACGGCCTCTGGGCTCCTCTGATCATCTGCTGCTGAGAGGAAAACACACTCAGAAAGAGAGAGGAGCATCATCCACTCCTCATCCCAGGCTGTCAGAGAGAAGGTAGCTCCAGTCTCCACCCTGCAAGCTCACTCCTAGTGTATTCAAAGGTAGCAGGGTCTCTCTGTTCCTGTATTCACTACTGTTCTTCCTTGGTGGTCTGTGCCCATCCCCAAGCTTTAAACGACTCCAGGCCCTGGAATATAATATTCCATGATACCCTTATAGGTGACACTCTACTTGAAGTCTTCAGTCACTCTATTAAGTCCTACTGACTGCAAGCGTTCAGGTGGCATTATCTTGAGAGGGAAATGGAGGTGAATCGAGTCCACGATGCAAGAAGTTCAGCACATGTATAAGTGTCCCGTGTGACTGAGACCCTGGGATTGGGACAGCTTAACACAGTGTGCTGAAAAGTTCTCAGGGGAAAAAAAAAATAGAGCAATTTTTTAGTATCAAAGCTTTTGAAGTAAAAATAGAAATTATATCTAATTATCAATAGTCAACTGGTAACAAAGAAAATAATTACTAGGAAAACTAAACACATGAAATAAAATAGCGCACTTTCAGCAGCCAGACCCAATGTGGGAATGAACACAACACTTTGAAAAAGACAGACTCAAGAGAGGTTTGCACTATATTTAACGTTTCACGTGTCAAATGCAGGCATGATTAGTAAAAAATTCACAAGCGAGGCCAAAGATCACATTTTAAAGGGCCACCTTTTCAAGGAAACTTACTTTAAAAAAAAAAGGGCTTACGTGTTTATACTGTATTCCACATAGCACAATAATGATTTCACAACTTGCACATGCAAAGCAATCGTAGTGTTTATAAGAACAAATGTAGCTAAGAACTGTGGATTGCTGAGAACGAATCTCTCCTGCAATTGGAGATAGGCTAACTATGTATTATTCTGATGGTTGAGTCCCTGTGAACTTTTACCGACTATAACACAATCCCACGATGCTCCAAGAGCACACTATCACCCATTTCATCTCTTAAGGCAAGCACTAGCTGGAGTCAGAGTTTTTTTCTGCTCGTGTGTTCTACCAGCCTTACAAGTTACTGCAGTAGGGGGAGGGTAAGTGTAGAAACACACCCTTTTACAGAGCATAAGGATTATGCTGCTTGGTCACGTAAACTACACAGTAACTCACATACTACTCCAAGATAAACACAGTGAAAACAAGGCAGTTTAGTTCTATCGCAACACTTCATTTACTATGCTCAGTCCAAGGCTGGGTGGAGGACTGAACTTGGTGAATTTACCTACAAGTGAACTACAATTAATTTTGCGCTTGCAGTACCTCAGAGTCAGAGAGAGCTCCCTCTCCAACCCCCACCCCCCCGGCCCCTTGTTTTGTTTGGTTTTAGAATAGTGAAGACAGCTGACAGTAACAGCAAATGATCCTGGTACTTTCTTTAAGGCACATTCCAGCAAGGTACATGCCTTCAGTCATTTTCCATCTTTGGGTTCCTGTCCATTGACTGACCTCTCTTGCATGTCTCTGGGTGTATGTTAGCATCTCTCAGGTAGTGCAAGAAGAAACATATACTGACTTCAGCACTGATATTAATCTACATCTCTCTTGTCACTTTCTAGCAAAGATGTAAATACTCATTCCAGTCTCAGCTCAGTACTGCATTGCATGTGATGCTTGCTTTTGATCTTCATTAACTTAAGCTCCAGACTTGTTATATGCATATTCATATTTAATGACTGTCCTAACATCAGTAAAATTACGCCCTGAAATTTAACAGAATATTAACAGTATGTCTTTTATTTTTTTTTAGAAAACAAACTGATATGAATTACAAAGAAGCTAAAACTAGTTTAAACTGCTGTGGGATCTCAGAACAGAAACTGATAGAGCTGATAAATACATTGATCCGAACACTTGCTACATTGTATCATATTTTAAACTGTCCAATGAGAGATTGAAATAGTTTGCTAACCCTGGTGGGAGGCTTCTCTTATTCTGGTGCTGTTACCTTATGTTGCCTCCGTGTTTAAACAAATAAATAAATTATTGCCTTGAAGAGTGTAACAACCATTTTCTAGGATAGTGGCCTGCAAGTAAAGGCAGCTCTCCCGTACCAGCTTCCTCCTAAACTCTCATCTGTGCTACACCATCAGTACTTATGGTGCAAAGAAACTGCATTTAAAAATGCATTACTCAGCTGCAGCAAAGAAACTTTTCTAATATAAACTTTTGCTTACTTTGCCTGCTGTGCTCATGTTGACCGGTGTCTCTGTTTTGAGCCGCCACCACTGATTTCTTGGGCCAAAAATTCAGTCAGCTGCAAAGCAGTCGGGTTGCTGATACAAGTCCTGTCCGATACACTGGAAGCCGGTCTTGTGAAGTGCTCCTGCAAGTGCTCTTATAGCCAAGCCTCCCAGCTCAGAGTCCCACCCCTTAATCAGTCAAAGTGCTAGAACAAAAATAAACAACCCGTCTGCTGAAACCTCACTCTTTACAGTGCTTCTGTCTTCCTGATTCATTCATCATGCTCTTCCCTACCCTTTTTGCATCCCATCTTTGGTTGCCCTCAACATCATGGGAAGAAAGCAAAAGCCCTGGCTGAAAGCTTTTTCCACCACCTGGGAGGCTGCCTCCAAACCCATTGCTCTCAGTGTCACTGTAGGTGCAAAGAGAAAAGGGGAGAGTGGCTCTTGAATCCACAGCAGCAGGGCTGCAGTGAGAACATGAAGGTTTTGCTGAATTACTTTGGTGACACTCAGAAGAGGCAAGCTGATATATTAAAACATGCAATTGTGCAAGCTGCTTGAGAAACAAACGCTGTCTGGCTGCAGCTGTACCTGCTCCTGATGCCTTAGTTTTACAGTTCAGCTACTCATTAATCTTTGGAATGGCTTTCAGTGAAGAGTGACCAAGGACAGTGTGCTAATCATGCTGATGGGAAAACAAATATCAGTAAGTCAGCAAGAAGTGCTGCAAGAAGATGCACCTTTCTTACCATGTGCACCACCCTGCTCAAATTGTGAGTGGATTGCCTGACACGTTGGTTGCATCAACACCCGCAAGCGCAGGCTCTGTCACTGGTCGCGCACCCACATACTTACCCTCTCCTGGCACAATGTCCTGGTGCGAGTGAGTGGGTGGAAGTCAGCACTGCGTGCCTTTGCTGTAGATTTCAAGCCTAACTGATTTTCAAATTATGCCCAGCATTCTAAAATCAAGATTTTTTCCCTCAAAAACAAGCAAAAAAGAGATGAAATACTGCATATAACCTGACTAGTAATTACTAAGTACAGCACTCACAGGTTTACCTGTATGACTAATTAATTTAAGAAGAGGTATAGGAAGAGGAAACAGGGAAAAACATGTAGATGTATATAACCTCAGGCAGGTACTTCAGGGACAGTGGGGTGTTCTAGTGGCCTCAGAGACACAACTGCAGCCTGATGGGGATGTGAGCTGTTTGGCCATGGCTAGAAGAACAGAGGTTGAGAGCCCCTGCTAAACAATTTCAAAGACCCACAGAGCAAAAGGGAGAGCCTGGCTTGAGGCTTCCTATGGAAAAAGGCTAACAGAGTCCACAGGTGGTGACCTGTCTCCCATCTGGGGAATGGCAGACCTCAGGGCATTCATCCATACAGTCTGCTCTGCTCTTTGAAACAAAGTTCCTCTCCCCATCCCCCCAAGACTTTTCATAGAATGATGGAATCATTTAGGTTGGAAAAGACCTTTAAGATCATCCAGTCCAACTGTAAACCTAACACTGCCAAGTCCATCACTGAACCATGTCCCTAAGCACCACACCTACACATCTTTTAAATACCCCCAGGGATGGTGACTCAGCCACTTCCCTGGGCAGCCTGTTCCAATGTTTGATAACCCTTTTGGTGAAGAAAGTTTTCCTCATATCCAATCTAAACCTACACTGGTGCAACCTGAGGCCATTTCCTGTCATGCTATTGCTTGTGACTGGGGAGAAGACAGCAACCCCCACCTTTCTACAGCGTCCTTTCAGATAGCTATAGAAAGCAATAAGGTCTCCCCTCAGCCTCCTTTTCTCCAGTCTAAACAACCCCAGTTCCCTCAGCTGCTCCGCCTAAGACTTGTGCTCCCTTCACCAGATTCGTTGCCCTTTTCTGAACACACTCCAGTACCACAATGTCCCTCCTGTAGTGAGGAGCCCAAAACTGAACACAGAATTTGTGGTGCAGCCTCACCAGTGCCAAGTGCAGGGGGATGACCACTTCCCTAGTCCTGCTGGCTGCGCTATTTCTTATACAAGCCAGGATGCTACTGGCCTTCTTGGCCACCTGAGCATATTGCCAGCTGATATTCAGCCGGCTGTCAACCAGCACCTCCCAGGTCCTTTTCCACCAGGCAGCTTTCCAGCCACTCCGCACCAAGCCTGTAGCGCTGCATGGGGCTGTTGTGACCCAAGTGCAGGACCTGGCACTTGGCCTTGCTGAACCTCATACCATTAGCCTTGGCCCATCAATTCAGCCTGTCCAGATCCCTCTGTAGAGCCATCCTACCTCAAGCAGATCAACCCTCCCGCCCAACTTGGTGTTGTCTGTATAACATACTGAAGGTGCACTTGATCCCCTTGTCCAGGCCGTTGATATAGATACTAAACAGAACCGGCTCCAATACCAAGCCCTGAGGAAAACCACTTGGGACCAGCTGTTCACTCCGGTCACCACAACTCCTTGGGCCTGGCCATCCAGCCAGGTTTTAACCCAGAGAAGGGTACACCTGTCCAAGCCACGACTAGCCATTTTCTCCAGGAGAACGCTGTGGGAAAGGCTCTCTAGGGAGACAACATCTACATCCTTTGCCTCAGCCACTAAGCGGGTCACCCTGGCATAGGAGGAGATCAGGTCAGTCAAGCAGGACCTGCCTTTCCTAAATCCAGGCTGACTGCGGCTGACCACCTGGCTGTCCTCTATGTGCCATGTGATGGCACTCAAGATGATCTGTTCCACAACCTTCCCCAGCACTGAGATCAGACTGACAGGCCTGTATTCCCCCAGATCCTCCTTCCAGCCCGTCTTGTAGATGGGTGTCACATTTGCTAACCTCCAGCACACTGGGACCTCCTCGGTTAGCCAGGACTGCTGATAAATGATGGGAAGTGGCTTGGTAAGCATCTCTGCCAGCTCCTTCACTGCCCTTGGGTGGATCCCATCCTGCCCCACAGACTTGTGTGTGTCTAAGTGCTGTAGCAGGTCGCTAACCCTTTTCCCTTGCATTATGGGGGCTTCATTCTGCTCCCCTCTCTGCCTTCTAGCTCAGGGGGCTGGGTACCCGCAGAACAACTGGTCTTACTATTAAAGACTGAGACAAAGGAGTTTCATTAAGTTTCTCAGCCTTTTCCCCATCCTTGCTCACTATGTTTCCTGTGGCATCCAATAAAGGAGGCAGATTCTCCTTAGCCCTCCTTTTGTTGCTGATGTATTTATAGAAACATTTTTAGTTTTCTTTTAGAGCAGTAGCCAGATTAAGTTCTAGTTGGGTTTTGGCCCTTCTCATTTTCTCCCTGCATAACCTCACGACATCCTTGTAGTCCTCCTCAGTTGCCTACCCCTTCTTCCAAAGGTCATAAACCCTCCTTTTTTTCCTGAGTTCCAGCCAAAGCTCTCTGTTCAGTCAGGCAGTTCTTTTTCCCTGCTAGCTTGTTTTTCAGCACATGAGTACTGCCTGCTCCTGCGCCTTTAGGATTTTCTTCTTGAAGAATGTCCAGCCTTCCTGGACCCTTTTGCCCTTCAGAGCTGCCTCCCAAGGGACTCTGTCAACCAACCTTCTAAACAGGTCAAAGTCTGCCCTCTGGAAGTCCAAAGTGGTAGTCCTGCCGACCCCCCTCCTTCCTTCTCCAAGAATCAAAAACTCTATTACTTCATGATTGCTACGCTTAAGATGGCCTCCAACCATCACGTCACCCAGTGTAATAGAGTATATTACAGTGCAAGAACATGTTTTTGCTTTATTCAGCAGTGGTGATAATTAATCTCTCTTGTTGTTTCTTGAGAGTACAGAGCTACAGATGCCACAGAAATTTCTCCTGCTAAGGTCATCTCAAAGTTCATAGTGAAACTAATTTCATAAATCTTTTGATTTATGATAATGCTGCAGATAAGCTATGGCTGCTCACAGTACAGCAGATAGTAGACGTGGTGCTTACAAACCTTCTAAACTGTAGTCTCTGTAGCACATCTGAAGTAGAGGAACCTCAGATAAGCCCTGTGTTGACGAAGCTCACACATGGAAACTATGACTCTAACTGCATGGATTTTATCGAGATGGAAGTGACAAATGATTTCTCCTGCATACTGCTTACAGTAATGAGATGACAAAATATATTGTTTGGTTGCACAAAATTGGCCAGTTTAACTTGTATTTTGCCTCAAGAAGTTGCTTGAAAATGGGCTTGTTATGACCTTGCTCTGAGCCCCTTTTCCCACCAGCCAGCCAGCAGAGACTTCATGCTGCAACCCTGACACATCAGTTGGGAAAGACCACACATATGGATGGCCAACCTCAAAAAGGAAAAATGACTCATTCCTCACGCAGCTAGAGGAAAATCTGCTTCCTAAGTCCTTGCACACCCTATATACCCATACGTCGCTTATCTGAGAGTGAAGTGACGGCTGAGGACCTCAGAGCAGAAGGCAGGGCACCTCTGGAAAAGTGTAGGCCATACCACTATCACAGAGGATGCCTTGTCAAGTTCAAAATTTGTGAGGTGTGGTGCAATTATAAGATTGGTAGTGTAACACAAAATGTCAGCACAAAAATAACATATATAAAAAAACCCCGCTAAATTCTCCCAGTAAGGCCTTCAAGGTAGAAGACACGTTCTGTGTACTCTGCATCAAAATACATCCAAAACAATGTGACTTACCTTCCTGTAATGTGCCAACAGTTCTACAAAGCCTCAGGAGGTAAGACCTGGTGACTTGCACTTCCTAGAAAAACTTCTATCAGAATGAAGTATTTCTAGTCCAGTCTATTCCTTGACAGTTATATTTCTGCTTTCCTCCGTTATTCTAAAGTTTCCACCCCTTTTCCTTATCAGTCTCTTCTCTGATTCCTTTATGTTTCACTTCCCCTCAAAACTCTCCTCATCTCTTTAGCTATATGCACATCAAGTCCATGATTTTTTTTTTTTTTTTTTCAGGGAATGGAGCTGAGGCCATCTGGAAACCATCTCCTTTGGCCAGAGCAGGTACCTCCAACTGGAAACACTAGGCAGTGGATCCTGTCTGCAGCCTGTGCAGGGGTAGGTGGCACGGTCTTTAGGAAGAACGTGGCAAGAGAAAGGACTGCACATGATGCCAGTGAAATGCGAGTCGACTTGCGT